GAAAACTTATAATGTCACTCTGATGTATGGAAGCTTGTTTCCGCCATTGAATAAAAAATATAATAAAGAATTGTGACTTTTTATCTTACAATTCTGACTTTTTTTCTCACAATTCTGACTTTTTTTCTCACAATTGCGAGTTTTTATCTCACAATTCTGACTTTATTTCTCAGAATTGCGTGATATAAAGTCGCAATTGCGAGTTATAAAGTCAGAATTGTGTGTTATAAAGTCAGAATTGCGAGATATAAAGTCAGAATTGCGAGATATAAAGTCAGAATTGTGTGATATAAAGTCGCAATTCTGAGAAAAAAAGACAGAAGTGTGACTTTTTTTCTCACAATTGCGAGTTTACATCTCGCAATTCTGACTTTATAACACATAATTGCGAGTTTATATGTCGAAATTCTGACATCTTTTCTCAGAATTGTGAGATATAAACTCGCAATTGCGACTTATTAGGCCAATTTTTTTTCCCCCATCAGAATAGTTTAAATCTCACAATTCTGACTTTATATCATGCAATTCTGACTTTATAACTCGCAATTGCGACTTTATATCACGCAATTCTGACTTTATAACTCGCTTTGCGACTTTATATCACGCAATTCTGACTTTATGTCTCGCAATTCTGACTTTATAACTCGCAATTGCGACTTTATATCACGCAATTCTGACTTTTTATCTCGCAATTCTGACTTTATAACTCGCAATTGTGACTTTATATCTCGCAATTCTGACTTTTTATCTCGCAATTGCGACTTTATATCACGCAATTCTGACTTTATATCTCGCAATTCTGACTTTATATCTCGCAATTCTGACTTTATAACTCGCAATTGCGACTTTATATCACGCAATTCGGACTTTTTATCTCGCAATTGTGAGAAAAAAAGTCAGAATTGTGAGATAAAAAATCGCAATTATTTATTTTATTTTTTTATTCAGTGGCGGAAACAAGCTTCCATACTGATGTGTCTTGAGACCCTCTCATAAAAATTTAATCAAACAAAAGTGGTCACTCATTTGAGAAGAATACTAACAGGTCTGCAATGAATCACCCAAAATGGATTTAATACCAGGTGTTCATGGTAATTAAAAGGGTGCTTTTTGAAAAGATTTCGGATACAACTCCTGCGCCCTGGTCAAATTGGCGCCTCTCCATCATGGCTTCCTAATCATCCACATATAATTGGCTACGTCACACTGTCTCCTCTCCACTGACAACTGGTGTAGCATTATCCAGGTGGATGCTGATTGTGGAGACCCACTCATGTTATAAAGTGCTTTGTGCAGTAGTATTTGGAAAGTACATAGAAAAGGGTTATATAAATGTTATTTATTTGTTTATTTATTTATTGTGATTGGCCTGTGGGAAATATAATTCATATTTACTAATTATTCTAATAAACATCAACATTTATTAATAAAATAATGTATTATTTTTATTATACAGTTGTAATCAAAATTATTCAACTTGCAATCAGGTTTATTGGCAAAATCTACAGACTTTCAGCTGTTAATTGAAATAGTTCAATTACACAACAAATGTTCCAAGTGTTTTCCCCAAATTCAACTGAAACTTTTAATGACTTTTGCAGTCTCAAAATTATTCAACCCCTTCATGGCATGCATCTTTAGTACTTAGTACTTACCCTTTTTCTGTTATGACCTGCTGCAAACGAGATGTATAACTAGACAGCAGCTTCTGGCAGCGTTTCTGAGGAATCGTAGCCATGAGCAATGGCCAGTTCAGTAATATTCTTGGGTTTTGCGTGCTGAAACCGCCTTCTTCAAATCCCGCCAGAGATTTTCTATAGGCGTTCAAGTCAGGTGACTGATGGCCACCGTAGAATCTTCCAGGACTTCTTCTGTAACCAAGCCTTGGTGGAATTTGAGGTATTCTTGGGATCATTGTTCTGTTGAAGGTTTCATTGACGCCCAAGCTTCAGCTTCCTCACTCACGGCATGAAGTTTTCTCCCAGGATTTCTTAATACTTCAATGAATCCATCTTGCCTTCCACATGCTGCAGGTTTCCAGTGCCAGAGGATGCAAAGCAGCCCCAGAGCACCATCGAGCACCACCATGCTTAACTCAAGACATAATGTTCTGTTCAGTACATGCTTCATTGTTCTTCCTCCAGACATACCACTGATTAATAGGGCCAAAAAGTTCTCCACACAACAGAATACCAAAATTTCTGTGGTTTATTCATATGATTTACAACCTGATCTCACAACCAAGTCGTACGAATTCGACGAATGATTAAAAAGTGGCTAATTCGTAACAATTCATACGACCTCACTCGGACGAATTAATACGATTTTGCTAAATCGTACATATTTTACGAATTGGCCAATTCGTATGAATTCGTACGAATGACCTACCCCTTACCCCGCCCCTAAACCTAACCATCACGTGGGTTTAGACAAATCGTACGAATTAGTACGAGTGAGGTCGTACGAATTAGTACGAATTAGCCACTTTTTAATCATGCGTCGAATTCGTACGAATTGGTCGTGAGATAGTGTTGGATTTAGAGCAAATTGGACCTGACTTTTCTTTTTAGGTCAGTAGTGCTTTTAGGTCAGTAGTGGTGTACGTCTTGGAGTTCTAGCATGAAAACCATGTGATTTTAGTATGCGCCTCACTGTGCAGGCTGAAACCTCAGTGCCTGTTGCCACCAAGTCTTGCTGCAGGACTTTTGCAGTCACTCGAGCCAATGATAGCTTCCTTTTTCTGCCCTATCCAGGTAGTGTAACCACTATTCCATTGAACTTTGGACTTACAAACTATGCTTCCAGTGGTGTCTCAAGGCACATTTAGTGCCTTTGCTATCTTTTTGTATCTTGGTCTTTGTTTGTGAAGGGAGATGATATCTTCTCTTAAAGGGTTAGTTCTCCCAAAATAAAAAATTAAGTCATTAATTACTCACCCCCTTGCTGTACCAACCCCGTAAGACCTTCGTTCGTCTTCGGAACACAAATGCAGATATTTTTGATTAAATTTGAGAGGTTGATCACTGCTACATTGGCTCCTAAGAGATTGAAACTTGATGGCCCAGAAAGTCATTGAAGAAAATGTTTAAATGTTCCATGTGACTACAGTGGCTCAACTATAAGTTTATTAAGCGATTTTGTGCAAAAATAACAACTATATTTGACTATTCCTAGATTTCCATGACGCATGCGCGAGAATTGCACACGAAGTAGTAGAATAAGAACGCCATTCTCACACATATGCGTCATGGAAATCTCTTGAACTCTTGTCTCAGGTCCAGAAGGAAGAAAAGGAATAGTCGAATTAAGTTGTTATTTTTGTTTCATTTCCGCACAAAAAGTATTCTCGTCGCTTGATAAACGTATAGTTGAGCCACTGAAGTCACATTGAATATTTAAACATTTTCTTCAATGACTTTCTGGGCCGTCAAGTTTCAATCCCTTAGGAGCCAATGTAAAAGTGATCAACCTCTCAAATTTAATCAAAAATATCTTCATTTGTGTTCCGAAGACGAACGAAGGTCTTATGGGGTTGGTACAGCATGGGGGTGAGTAATTAATGACTTAATTTTCATTTTTGGGTGAACTATCCCTTTACATTTTTGGGCCACTCTTTTGACATATTTCTAACATGCACTCAAATGTGACACTCAACAAACCTAGCCAGTTCGGAAATTTCATGTGCTAGTTAAGCACACCTGGTAAAACTAATGAAGCCCTTCATAAGTTGCATCAGGTGTGCTTGAGACAACACCTGTTTAGCATATTTGTGCTATTGTGAGGGATTTAATTCAGGGGGTTGAATAATTTTTAGACTGCAGAAGTCATTAAAAGTTTCAGTTGAATTTGGGGAAACTACTCAAAACATTTGTTGGGTTGAGCTATTTCAGTTACTTTTGATTGATTAGTTCATTGCAAACAGCTGAAAGTCTTTACATTTTGCCAATAAACCTGATTTTTAATGGGGTTGAATCATTTTGATTACAACTGTACATGCTGGATGAAGTTAGGCGACAGTGGTCTGTTAGTCCAACTTTGCAGACTAGATTTATTCTGTCTAAAACTTTTACATGACATTTTAAAAAGAAAAATTACTGATTTAGACTGATTGAAGTTGAACTTTTAAATTACATCTGAACATACTGAGGAATGCTTGCTGATACAGCTAGCTGACCAACAGTGCAGAGACCTGGAGACCTCAATGTGAAAAAATAGTTTTATCGCTTGCCAACTTGTTGCATTACGCCTGGATATTGTACACAAAAATGTATCACTAAGCAGAATGTTTTTCTTAAGAGTTTTTCCTCATCACTGCCCACAGTGTTTCAGGGCATTCTTTGGAGATTTAACATCTACGCAACCACATGTTTAGTCTCAAAATTCAATCTGCAGAAACCATGAATATTCTGATTCCAAAAACAATCTCCATTTTGATTCCATTGAGGGAACATACTCAGCTCTTTCCACACTCAAATGCCTGCAAACATAGGACACACTCCCATTTGTCTTCCAAACTTGCTGTGTGGCACTTTCTTTAGAAGTTGTGCTGTTATGGGGTCTTTTTAAGCAGCCGTATTCTGGCCACGTAGGAGCGATAATGAGGATGAATGCTGATGCGTTCCCCACACTCTTCTTTCTGAGCATCACATGCTCCCTTTGCAGCCCAGGCTTTGCTCACTGCACGAAGCCTTAGCCGTAGACTGCTGCTGATCCGGTAACCAGACTCCGCCCGCAATCAATGCCTCGAGTACGAGTGCTTCACGCAAGGCTGTGTGATCATTACCGCCCATCTGTACTGTCTGCGGATGAGCCCCCAATGTCTTCGCCCGTCACAGTGGCGTCAATATTTCAAGATTAATCACCTATTTGACTGTTTTTGCTTGATGCAAATGTCTGTTTTTATAAAGTCTATAGTGTTTTGACCTCCAGTATACTATTTGTTCTTCTGAACACTTCAGTCTCAGTAATCGGTCTGTCTCATCCTTTCCCTCTCTCATCAGCTTCACACTGACATGGACAGAGGTGATGGACGCACTAAGTACGTGCTGCGGGGTGAGGGGGCTGGGTCAGTGTTCGTGATTGACGAGAAGACGGGCAACATCCACGTAACCAAGCCCTTGGATCGGGAGGAGAAGGACGAATACCGTCTGATTGCCACGGCAACAGACAGTCAGACAGAGCGTGCCCTGGAGCCCTCCTCCCAGTTCATCATTAGAGTGCAAGATATCAACGACAACCCACCTGTCTTCGAGGACGGACCCTACAGTGCCACAGTACCCGAGATGGCAAACATAGGTAGTGGAATCAGCACATGCTCATCCCTCATCCCATGTTTTTTTTTTTTTCCTCTGTGAATGTCAATGATTTTTGAATAATGCAGGATTCACGCTGTCCCAAAAATCATCAGATGAAAAGCTGAGGAAACGCTCTCTATAATTTGCGCCGTTTAAATGTTAATGGCGCTCATTTGGTGAAATAACCTCTCGCGTTTATCGATTTCACGTCCGTTTGAGTCAGGCTCAAAATATTACCCCTCGACTGTCGTGGCGGTTTTGTTTAGCCTGAAATGGGTTTAATTAATTTCAAAGCATCCCATCCGCAAACAAGAAATATTCTGCGCTGCATCTGAATGCTCGAACCCTTGCTGGGGTAAACGAAACCCGAGTGCCATTCAAATCCATATTCTAGCAGTGTGAATGCGTTATCAGTCTAAATTGTGCCTTGTTTCTTCAGTTCCGCTCAAATTGAATATGAATAGATTTCTCTGAGCCCGTTCATGTTGCGTCAACCTGGCAGTCATGTCTGTTTTTTGATCTGCCTATCTGATTGTTCGTTTACAGTGACAATCTCTCTTTGCTTTCTTTCTCCTACGCTATTCCATTGCCGCTTCTTAACTACCTGTGAAAGATCTGTAATCAGACGGCTGCCTCCCCTCAACCCACAAGCTCTCTTGGTGACACTGTCAGGCCTTTGATGTCTGAAAACAGCAACAGCTGCTCCCACAAATCCCTACGTCCCTCTGAGCTTGTCAGCCGTTGCCCCATGGGAAACGTAGTTCCCTTCCCATTGTACATATATATGTTCTTTTCAAACCACTTCGGTCCTTCGCATGACGCTCTTTGATTTATTTGGTTGGAAAAAAGTCCATATCTGTCAGGAACGCGGGAGAGATTCGAGACGTGAGGGAGTTATGGGAACGGGAGGGTGGCCGCAGAAACAGGCATAGAGATTGAGAGAGGGAGCAAATGGGGAATTGGAGAAGGAGATGAAGAGAAATGAAGTGAGACAGAGGCGCCAATGAAAGAAGGTGTGCGGCTGGGGAGAAGAGAAAGTGAATACTGTATTTGTCAGTACAGCAGGGGGAGAGAGGAGAGAGTGAAAGGGAGAGAATCTGTCAGTCTTTATATGGCTCTCTTTATTTAATGTGCTTGACCTGTGTTCATTTGTGCTGTATTGACCATATCTTATTGTCTTTCTTCCTGAAACTATTTCTCAGGGACCTCCATTATCCAGGTGACGGCTTCAGATGCAGACGATCCCACATATGGGAACAGCGCACGGTTGGTGTACACGCTAGTTCAGGGGCAGCCGCACTTCTCAATGGACCCTCAGACAGGTGGGTTTTTCCCCCCTAGGAACTGATTTTTCATATCCTTATCCTTGATTTTATTTTTGTGGTGTACTAGGAAATGCTTTTATGATTGATTGTTCAAAAACAAATTGTTCACATTATAATAGCACCTCACTTCCCAATCTGGTTCGAACACACCGTTTATTTCCTGTGTTGATGAAGCCCCTCATTCCGAAATACGAACTGTGCCGTGAGTGTGTCGTGATTGGCACAAGTTAGCGCGTGTTCGGGAAATGTCACACCCCTTACCACAACCACAAGCTCTTTTCAGATGTAAATATTAAGGTTGGTGTCAATTTCAGACTTAAGAATGTTAACAAACAAGAGGATCGTGCAAAATTATTACAATTTTTTTTTGTGTGATCGTTTGAAAAAAAAAAAAAAAAAAAAAAAAAATCGTATACATTTCAGATGCGTTATACACCATTTAAAGGTGGCATATGTAATAATTGAGGTAAAAATATCCAAAAAATGAGCTACACGCATCAAAAGAATGAGAAGAAATAAGTGCAATGATGTAATTAAAAAACTGACAAGTTATAGTGCTGCCGAGATATAAACCTAAATTAGCATGCTAAATGACTAGCCCCGGCCCGGTAGGTGTCGTAATACCAGTTCCGGCCATGGGAGGCGGTATGCGGCCGGGCAACATTACCACCAGCCAAACTGCAGTACACGAGTGAGTCGCGCTAGCGCCGGCTTGTGTGTGTACTTGAACCTGATGTCAGTCGTGTGGAAATACAGCCCATTACTACATTTCAGTTCAGGGAAGAGTTCAAAAAATGATTGGTCGACATTATGCATGAGGAATACATTTTGGTAAGTTGTAGCATACTGTATCTTTCAACAGTGTTCGGGTTCTTTTTCCATTAGCTAGTAGAGATGATCGGTTCACGTGCGCTAGGGATCTGTGGTGTAACATGTACAAGCGCCAAAACGGTATTTATTGTTTGAATTGCATAATAAAATTGACAGAATCTGAGAGCTTAACTAACCTGCTTGCTAAGTGTTAATTGCATGTGTCTCACGGTGAATTCGTGAGAGCTGGCAGCTCTGAATTTCGCTAGGTTGATCAACATCAGCGAATGCTGTCTGTCAAATTAATTCAAACTAACAATAAAAGTGTAATATGAACAAAACGAATACCATAAACTTAAAATAATAGCCTGCAGGCTTTTATTTTCCCATATCGTCGAAATGCAAGCTTGTTTTTGAGACAGGCGTCTATGAGTCGGTCTTCATCATTTAGTGTTGAGATGTTGTTCATTTAGTCTCTGATCTCTAAAAATCTCCAAATGCTCCACGTGAAACTGCGGTCTTCCGACCTTTTACTATCGTGTCAAATTATTTGAATAATATGCGGAGAAAGAGAGCAAAACAGCGCTCGTTTGTGTTGTTTGAAGACGTGAGTGCGTGCGGCAGCGGCACAACACATTTTCTGGAGGTATACTGCCCCCATCTGTTATGGAATATGGAATATTTTTTGATTTTTAGTTCCAGAAGGCACCTTTAAGCATGATTCCAAGTCGGAAAACTATGGTAATGCAAACAGTAATCAATCACAAAACCATGACTAATTTTTTTAAGGGGCGGTGAACTTGCAAGGGCTACAGTAAACACTATCATGTTGGCAAGCAGGTGAGCAGAGGCAAAGCTTTGCCCTCTGTTTACATCATGGCAACAGCATAAAATTTATAATTGGAACTTTTAACAGAAAACGCAACTACAAATAATAAGACATACTTACCAGTTGTGATCCACAAACAACAGATTGTCCCTACAAAGTGGGAACTGCTCCATTTCAGGAAAAGCTTTTGTGCGTAGCCTGCATTCAACTCTCTTAGGTTCTGGAAGCTGTTTTCCGTAAAATGGGCAGCACACAGATACAGTAAATGTTGGGGTTGTAATGTTCAGGAACAGTGTTTAAAACTAATTTTAACCACTCTCATCGGCCTTAGGAATGTCAAACAAATTAGTTTTGGAGAGAAGGAGTAAACAATGGTGTTTGAGACTCACTGTACTATGTCATTTCCGTGGACTGAAAGTCCATAAAATAGACAAAAGTGTCAGTGAAAAACATGCTTGGTGGCATAACATTTGTGACAATAAATTATCATCTATAAAAATCCATTTTTCACATTTGAGCATCAAGCAGTAAATTATGCACAAAGGGTGATTATATTATACTCAGTGCATATAATTCTAGCTATGAAATTAACTTTAGCAAGACAAAGGAGTTGGACATTGTTTTCCAGAAATGTTTAAAATGTTGTTGCCTGCCAAAAGGGTCAACATCACTTGTCAACCAGTTTCCCTATCATAGTATTACTTGTGACCAGAAAGGTCATGCTGTCCACCAGCTATGCCAACATCAAACCAGCACTGACAACCATAAACCAGGTATGTTTTCAGAAGGGTATAGCACAGGTTTTTGATACATGCTGCGGGGTTCATGCTTCCAGTATGAGTTGAAGTCTGGCTTGCATCTTTTTCTAATCTTTTTTTTCCTCCATCATTTCCCATCTTCTCTCCACTGTACTGCCATTAAAAGTGGGAAAAATAAAGGTCTCTGACTGTTGAGTGTGCAATAACAACAACACAATAACAGTAGATATCACTAACATGAGGAGATCCAAAACAACTGTTTGAAGAACCGCTACAAGTGTTTGGCTAATCGGTTGTCCTTAGAGAACAAGTTCTTAATCAGATTATCACCATCCTTCATTCTTGAGGGACAAGTGAAGTTACTAATTGTCAAGTTAAGTCACCAAAATTAATGAAAAATACAATAAAATGCTTCTGTAGAAGAGTCTTTAGTTTCATGTTATAATCTCTTTAGGGTCTCAGTCCCTGATCAGTCATCAGCACCACGCTCTCTGCCTTCAAAGCTCTGATCAGTTCCCCCTCACTCTGTCATCCCTTCATCTCTCTGGTCCTCCTTCCTCTATTCCTGGTTCATCCCTCCCTCTCTTCAATGCTCATTAATCCAGACTGACTTGGCAGGAATGTATTCATTCCAGCTGAGCTGCTGCACTTCTAACAAATGCTGCAAACACTAACTCCACACTTGGGCTGTGGAAAAAGAGAAATTCTTCAAAGTGGGACGTCACCACAGGTTTGTGAATAGTTAAAGGTTCAATATGCAGGATTTTTGCAGTAAAATAGCTAAAAAACAATGTTATATATTTTGTTTTGTTGATTACTTACAATATCCCAAATGTTTCCAACTATTTGTAAATCGAGCGAAAATTGCAATTTTAACCAAGGAAACGGGGTGTGTGAGCAGGGGTGAGGAGTCACTAGTCAATGGCGTCCTATTCGTGTTAGCCTCGGTTTCCGCCAGGTTTGCGCTTGCACTTCGATAGTAACCACGGCGACAGACGTGGACAACCGTTATGCCTAGCAAGACGCTCATGTTGTGGTTGTTTTGTTTAAACATTATGGAGCATGGCAAGCAGACTTTGAGACAAAAAGAGGACTAAAACGAAGATCGACATCTTTCGAGATGCCGAGAGCTCCATGTCCGTGACTAACTTTGTGACCTGACAGAGTTGCGTGTTCTTTATTATACAGGTGAGCAAATGTACATAAAACTAATCAATGTTATTTAGTTCAACATGACGAAATGTTAGAATATGATCTGTATGTTATTATAATGTTGATCTAGCTTAACGTACTTAGTCTCATGCAGCCAACACACAACCTAACTAACAACATTCAACACACTCAAATGCCGGTAAGTGTGATAGTGGAACTGTTAGAGCAAGCGAAACAGCGCTGCGTTACCTCAAGTTTAATTCATCTAATAAACTGTTAGTTGACGACAAGATCCATACTTATGCTTAATGTGGAATATACGTCATCATTATACGCCTTTGTTATTGTAAGAGGTTAGCGACCACTGATGGTGAAAATTCACTCAACTTCATGTCATTCCAAACCTGTATGCTGTTTTATTTTCAGTGGAATACAAAGTTGGGTAGCTCTTGCCATACAATGACGATTCAGTTACCAAGCAGGAAAAAAATGGACATAGATCACCGTAAAAGCATCATAAAATGAGTCCATATGACTCACTAGTGCATCATAATCAAAGTCTTCTGAAGTCATTTGATAGTTTTGCAAGTCATTATTCACTGATGCCACCAAAGATTCTGACATTTTTAATTGATGAGAAATTTTCCCTTTGGCTTATATACAGCATTTAGTGAGTAATTTTAAATTGGCTTTCTTTTTTGGGAACAAATCATGTTTTTCGCTGGCTTTTCGCAGGATTGGCTGAGGAAACATTCATGCAATCTGTTGACTTAAATGTCAGTCTGTTGCTCACATAAAGATATTGTATGACTTCATGCCAAATGGGATACTTTTATTGCGTTTTTTTTGTGTTGTTTACTGCCATGATATACACCACCATTCAAAAGTTTGAGGTCAGTGAGATTTTTTTTTCTTTAAAGTAATAAATTTTAATACAGTAGGAAGCACTAAATTCATCACAAGTGACAGTAAAGACAAGTAAAGGCTGTTCTTTTGAACTTTCTATTCAGTTTTCACAAAATTATTAAGCTGCACGCAGCTGATTTTTAAACTTGAATAATAATACATTTTAATAAGCGACAAATCAGCATATTTTCTGAATGATCATGTGAAACTGAAGTAATGGCTGCTGAAAGTTCAGCTAATTGCCATGACAGAAATACATTTATTTTAATTTGTAGTAATATTTCACAAAAATGCTTTTTTAATGTATTTTAAATGCAGTCTTGGTGAGCATAATGATATACTTTCAATAACAAAGTCGTACCACCCCCCAAAGTTTTAAATGGTAGTGTAAGAGCAATGAAGAGTCTTAAAAATATCACCGGTGTTTTAAAGAATAAAATGACAGCATGCGGGTCCGCAGTGCCATGAAGGTGAGTAAATGATGACAGAATTTCTGGGTGAACTTTTCTTTTAAATGGCAAACTTGCCGGCCCCTGCGCTCTGCCTCTGTTCCTGTCAGAGGGTCTGGTTTGTGACCCAGAGGCTGGTGAGAGGCTTTTATTCATGGTTAGGGGGGTCATTTGAAAAATCGCTCCTGCTTCTTTGTGCTGTAGAGTGGATTTGGCAGAAGTGAAGTGAGCACAGGGTGATTCTACATGCAGTGGGGACTGTGTGGCCTACCTCTGTGTGTGAGCGTAAGGGTTGAGAAAAGAATGATGGGTATTTGTGTGTATGACAGGCTAGAAAAAATGAGGCGAGAGAAGGAGAGAGTGAGAGAGAAAGATGAATTTTACTGCACGCTCGGATCCATTGTGCGAATGTTTGTGTAGCAGTCGCTGTATTGTGTCTCTGTCTATGTTGATAATGGACTTCCTTCGTGTTTTGATTCCATTTAGCCGTCTAATGAAACCTAATTAATTTTGTTGACATTTGTGGACCCCACACTGATATGAATGAGAGGGCTTTTTCTCCTGGAGTTTTGTGAATGCTAATCAAGGATATTAACCTAATTCTGTCGTGTATGCATTCCATGGCATTCTTTTTCACTCATTAGCGGGAATTAGCATTCTGAAAGGTCTCCTCCTATGTGCAATATAGTGTGGATCCATACAGTAGTTATACATCCTTGTGATATTTTAATAAACCTCCATTGTAGACTGTTGTTTGATGGTAGGAGTCTCCCACGGGTGACCTTGACCACTGGGACGTGTTTCTACAAGCTTACGGTCAGAGAACACATGGAAGTTATTTGATTCAAGGGGATGATTGAATTTGTGATGTGCTTCTCTCTTTTTCTCCCTCAGGCATCTTGCGTACTGCAGTTCCTGATTTGGATCGAGAAGCGCAGGATCTGTATCTGGTGGTCCTGCAAGCTAAAGACATGGGCGGACATCTTGGTGGCCTGTCAGGGACGACTACAATTACTGTACGATTGACGGATGTCAACGATAACCCTCCGCGCTTCGTACAAAGTGAGTAACTTTCCTTATCTTACATCAAGTCAACATCTACGTCCCTTACAGAAGTTTACCATGGACCAATAGTGTCTGTCAATTTACCATAACAGCTAACATAGAAAAGCCATCTTTGAAAAAAAAAGACTCTTTGAAGCATATCCCATGTAGAACTATTTATATTCCTAAAACCCACGTAAGAATTTTTTCCTTCCTTTTTTTCCTCCATGGGTTCCCACATGAATTTTCAGGGAGTTAAAAGTAAATTCAAACTTTTTAATTTTGTTCTGCAACATTTACAATTACACTCACAATCATACACAGATGTTAAAGTGATGAGCTTTAACAGCATTAGTTAAAGGGGTGGTTAAGGATTTTGGACATCGGGCCTATTTCCAAGTTAGCCTGGGTGTTATTTATCAGTGGAGACCCTTTTCCCAAAAATCGTTCCAGTTAGCATAGTTAGCCGGTGCTAGGCTAGCATTAGTCAACGGTAACTACTAGCCTGCCATTTAAAACAGTTTTACCCACTCCACTGTACACCAAAATTAAATAAACTATAACGCCAGACTGTCGATGTACAGTAAAGGTCTGTTGAGAGAATAATGTTAGAAATCAAACTACCCTTTGCTCGCATTGCAATAGTTATACTTTGTTCCCTTTATTTACTGTATTAGCACAGTCTACAACAGCAGCGGAGTGATATTAAGTTACATAGGCAACCAAGAGAGGTAGTGCAGGTCCCGATTGTAGTGCTCCTTCTGTTCTGTGTTTACTTTTCGGCGCAGTACTACTAACCGGAGTCAAGTAAAAAGAGAAAGTTCCTGTAAATGTAATGTGATTAATGAGATGCAAGAGTACTTTGATTTCTAACATTATTCTCTCAACAGACATTTACATCGATGGTCTGGTGTTATAATTTATTTGCTTTTGGTGTACAGTGGAGTGGGTAAAACTGTTTTAAATGGCTGGCTAGCAGTTACGTTGACTTGCGCTAGCCCAGCACCGGTGAACTATGCAACTGGAATGACTGGATGACATTTTTTTAAAACTGTCTCCACTGATAAATTATTTAAAATAAATGATAGGCCTACTTTTATTCTGCAAAGACACATTAAATTGAAAAGTGACAGTAAAGATGTTTTCTTTGTTAAAACAACAACAACAACAACACGGATTTCAATCCTGAAAAAAAAAAATGCAACAGCATATTAGAATGATTTCTGAATGATCATGTGACACTGAAGACTGGAGTAATGATGCTGAAAACTCAGCTTTGCCATCACAGGAAAAAATTACATTTTAAAATATTAAATTATAAACAGTCATGTAAAGAAGGAGACTAAACCATAATTTTGCACCATAGTGCATTTGCGAGTCGGGCCATCATTTTTATCTTGGACCATACCACGTCCAGGGAGTGGAGCACCAAAACCCACTTCCCTACAAGTTATTTTCAATTTGTAACAGTATTTTACAATATCACTGTTAATGAAAGTCTCCTCAAGTGATGTTTGCCACAGACATTATTTTATTCATAAATCAAAAAACTGCCATTCTTGAAACACCAGAGGAATTCCAGAGGAAACAAATGGCAAATTATAACATACTTTCATGACAAGTTAGGGTTAGGTCATATATTTTTGTGTGAATTCTTATAATTTCACAAATTCCCGATTTGCAAGTTAACATTTTAGGTTGGCATTCAAGTTAGCGTCATGACTCAGCATCCCTAAAAAGGGCATTATCATTGTTATCAAAAACAGAAGTTGACATACTCTTTCAAGCACATTCCATATTACGATTTTACTGTACTTTGTGATTTTTGTGAATAATATTGTTGATGGTAAATTTAAATACATCATACCATACTACAGTATGTAGATGTTGATGCATGTGTTCCAAACATGTTGAGCTGTGGCACATGTAGTTAAAATCATACCACTGGCCCATTCTTGTTGTTTCCATCAATAAGAGTGGAAAAATCCCAAAACATTGGATCTGTGTTATTTTGTTTTCCTAAATGGTCTTGAGAATTGATTGTGTTTACAACCTGGTGCACCGTGCACATAAACCGGCCATTTCTATGAACGGGAGACAGGAGATCTAGAGTTACAGGTTGCTTATTGACAGAGCACACCGCCAGCTGTTAAACTGTGCCTGCATGAGGGCCGTAACACTATCAAACGAGTTCTGCTCAATTACATACCAGCCCTTTATTAGTATGGTCATAGAAGGGTCCTTTCTCTCCAGACGTCAGCTCTACCCTTCTCTTTTTTCGTGTTTTTATACCGGGGCGATTCGGTTTGAGATTATCTGAAGAGTGTGTGGGGACAATATATCAAAGTCTCACCCAGGTAGACGTACAGGTCCAATGGGCAAGGTTGGGCAAATCTCCTCAGACTTGGAAGCAGATTTAGAAATCTCTCCGGGAATTCACTTCAGATAAAAGCAAACAAATTACAGACGTTTTGGGAGCTGTTTTGAACATTGTAATTACGTTTGAGAAATGTTGATGCATCCCTCGGTATAATAGATGCAGACTCAGGTGCAGAGGGAGTTGAGCTGGTTTCTGTAGTTTTAACAGCCTTGAACCATGTTGGGCATCCGAGAGGAGCGGAGGAGTGCACTGTGCCCGTGATGGATAGATCGGTAGATTGTTTGACGGATGACTACATGGGTACGCCTGTTAAGATCAGTGTCTTTTTTTTATGAGGTGACGAGATAAGAAGCAACGATACAGAGAAGGTTTCATCATAAATATTACTAATTTATTTCCCCTGAGTCTTTGCTGGTTACAGAACAAAAGGGAGGGGAAAACGAAGACTGAGGGAAGACGAAAAAAGATTGCAAAAGAAGAGAGGTTAAGAGAGTTCTTAAAGAGAGTTTAAGAATAGAGAACCTAAATGATAATCACCGTAATTTGTCCACGGACAGAGTGAGAATGCAAAAACTACAAAAAAAAAAAGGTCTGATAGGAAGACTGAGATGGGAAGATGAGGAGAGGTGATGGTGACACAAGAAAAAGGACAGCTTAACTCTGCTCCGAGAATGGAATCAATTTTATTTATGGGAGTGTGTGTCTGCCTGTGTGTGTGTCTTTGCGCCCACTCACACCTTTAAATCATCTATTACATCCTGTCTACACTGGAAACGTCAAAGCTGCACACCAGCAATGTTGAAAATACTAGCTGTGAGCTAAACTTAGTCAAGTCAGGTATATTTGGGGTGGTGATGGGGTGAATGGGGTGGTGATGGCGCAGTGGATAAGACACATGCCTTTGGTGTGAGAAACCAGGGTTCGAATCCACTGCAAGACACCAATGTGTCCCTGACCCTGAGCAAGACACTTAACCCCTAGTTGCTCCAGAGGCATGCGAACTCTGAACTCAACTGTAAGTCGCTTTGGATAGAAGCGTCAGCTAAATGAATAAACGTAAATGTAAATATTTATATACCGCTTTTCACAATATAGATTGCAGAATTATCAACTTTATGTGGGTTGTGCCTCGGCAAGGCACAGCGCGGATGAATCCAATCTTTTTAGCAGAATGTGCCGCTGTCATTCGGAATCACATGTTTCCCAAAAGACAAATTAAGTACAATGTACCTTGATCTTCATATTCAAAAAGTTTTTACCTCCCGGCTCTTAATGAATGTTGTTCCCCGTGGAGCTTCAGTGAATTTATGCAATAAATTGTTGTAGTATTTGTTTAAGTTCCTCAGTGTGAAAAGATGAATCTCAAAATCATACAGTCACTGCTGGAAAGGTTCCAAGAATGCAAAAGATACTGGAGAAATTGCAGGACCTGAAGGATTCTTCTGAAGAACCCTTCAAACAGTATTAAGAATAAGGGTATGTAAACTTTTAAACAGGCATTTTTTTTTTTATAAATTCAGCTATGTTTTTATGTAAACAACTTTTATGTAAAATATCTCATTCAGGGCAGTACTGAATGAAAAATAACACACGTTTTGTATGATCCCTCTTATTTTGTGTAAATAATTAACATTTTGCAATTGTTTGCAAGGTGTATGTAAACTTTTTAGTACGGCTGTATATTTGTAGTCTGTTTACAGATTAAATTTGTTAATGTATGACTCCATAGCTCAGCATTGCATCAAAAATAGAAAGGGCCGGTTTCCAACTTAGCAAATGATACAACTGATGCTGTCATTGAATATAATGGGAGCGATTATGTTTTGTCGCTCGTGTCCAATGTAGACACGGTGTTATTTCTTGTGTCGTTCTCATGTCTTCCCTCTCTCCATCTCTCATACATGCCATTTACACACTCCCTGACTGACTCATGAGAGGAGACTCGTGCGTGCTCACAGGAATACACATCAGCCTCTGTGTCGCACGCACATACACATTCATATCACATACACGCGTTCGACAGTTCATCAGTCTGAGGGAGGAGAGAGGGCGGCTGGAGATGGAGAAACTCGGAGGTGACAGGTTTTGTCATCAACCCTTAAGGGCTAATTGTCATTCAGCATCCTTTGCTCTTGGTCTTTGGCTTTCTGTGCGTCTCCTTTATATGTGCATTTCTTTTTTCGACCCTCCTCACCCCTCTGGCCTCAGCTGGCTTTGCATTTAAAGGCTCTTCAGTGGTCAGTGGTGCACACAGACAATAAAACACTGTTCATCAAAACACTTATTGTGTGCTCTCAGCAGATCATAAAGCTCGTCATTTACTCTCTCATCAAAGCATAAAGCCCATTTAGCCGCCTAGCTTTGCATTATGGAATCATGCAGTGTCAAGTTCAACAGGAGATAATGCCTGATGCATATGTTCTCTTGAGTATAATGGCAATAAAACGCCACAGTTTGGATGTAAGTTGCACCTGTAAAACTCATCTCAGCCTCCTCTGGAATCCATTTTAAAAGTAAAGGAAGATGCAAAGAATTAGTTGCCTCGCGTCTCACCAATGTGTCTGATGTTGTCTGTGGCAAGAGCAAAGAGGTTTAAAGCGAGACCAAAACCCCCAAAAGCGCATCCCTAGTGACTTTT